CTTTTCTTCAGCAGCTTCATAAATGTATCCATGCAGAACCCAATTCATGCAAAACTGTTTACAACAAATCTCTTTTCAGTACAGCTTTTATTTCCTTGGGCAATGTGGGCAACCTTTGGGATGGCAGAGGCTATGCATACAGTACATTAATCGCGAATGCTCTCTCGAGATAGGATCTTCTAAAACGATCCTGTTAAATTGGAAAATTACAAGGATACTGATCAACCACACGTGGTATTTATTTTGTAGCCTCGTCCTACTCATTATAACCCATTTGCCTTGCTGACGCTGTCGGAGAAACTCAGCTAAAATGAACCCAAAGCCTTTTTCGCTGTCCTTAATTAGCCAGCTTTTCAAAATCTTTTTTGACTAGCTCTCTGGAAGCCAGGCATAATTTATAATGGAATATAGATGGGAAGAGTATGCCAGGCTCAGGATTTTAGGAAAGCCACACTCTTGGACTCCAGTGGGGAGACTTCCTTCATGAGGAAGATGGGGAAATAGACGGCAAAGCATTGCTGGCATTAGATATTTGGGTATCTGAAGTGGAAAATCAAAATGCCATCTCTCTGGGTTCTTTTTTGCCAAATTACACACAGAGAGAGAGAGATGGAAAGTGAAGGTAAGAAAATGGCACCCCCTCTGGAATCTTATCTCCTGAAGGAATGGTATCACTGTGGGGCATGGCGAGGCCTTTCCTGACTCTTGTCAACAGTGATAGAAAAATAGCCAGAGGTTCTGCAAAGGACAATATTGTTTTCCACTCGTAGTATTCTAGTCCAGTTTCTTCAGATGAGAACAGCTAGGCTTGACACCACAGAACAGGGACAGGAACGCACTCTATCACATGCAAAAGCCATCAGTTTACACTCAGCACATTTTTCTACCGCTACCAAATGCCATGGTTACATCAGGAGTTTGATGTCAGCATGCAGGGGACTCAAGTGCAGAGAGGTAAACATATGCCTCTTACTCATGCCTTCTGCTGGAGATACCTGAACACTGGCTTCTGCTTCCCAAATGTTCCCAGAAGAAGTCAGAATCTCCTAGCGCAGGGGTGGCCAAACTGTGGCTCAGGAGCCGCATGCAGCTCTTTCACACATATTGTGTGGCTCCCGGCAGGGCGGCTGGGGAAACTAAATATCATTAGCAAATAAATATCATTATCAATATCTGCTTTTTCTGCTTTTGTTATTCTTTTTGGCAGTCTCATTTCATGTTAATAAAAAGCAAATTTGCATATTTCCTAGTAAAAATGTGTAATAGTTGTTCGTGTCTTGCGGCTCTCGAACATCTGCCGTTTATTCTATGTGGCTCTTATGTTAAGCAAGCTTGGCCACCCCTGCCTTAGAGTCACATTTTCTTTTGTAGTAAACAATAAGGGGACCAGCAATTCATACAACAAATATAGACAGATAAGAAATTGCTGCAAGGTTCACAAATTACAGTAAATAGACAATAGTAAACTTGGTAACAGTGATGCTTCGTGATGTTTAATTCTTTGATGTTTCAAAACACAGGACGTCACCCACAGAAGATGACATCAACAAGAAGTACGAACATCTCGAGTGGTTGTTCGTTTCGATGGAACTCTTTATCAATCCAAATTCCTAACAAAAATAATAAATGACACTCTTACATGATTACCTGTGGCTGTAATTATAGATACATAGGACAAACCTCACGAGCTCTTCGTACACGAGTTCTTGAACACAGGTCCAAATTAAAACATCAATGTCAAACTGCACCCCTGGTACAACATTTTATGGAGGCAGGCCATGGATATAATGAGTTTAAATGTGTGGCTCTAGAAGTGGTACGTTCTAAACCTTATAACATTATAGATATCCATAAACTACTATTACAAAGGGAAGCGTTCTGGACGTTCAAGTTAAATACAGTACAATCAGTAGGTCTCAATGCAACCTTGGACCTGTCATGCTTTTTGTAATTAATTTTGTAACATCAACATTTGATTTGATGTACTGTCAATAGTGCTTTGATTTGTTAAAGTCATTCAATTGCCTTTGTTCTTGTGTTAAAGATGTATAGAATGTGTTAAAACCACATGCACTGATAAGTTGGCTTCCGATGAAGTTGTAACACGTGGTTTACTGCTGTATCTATTTAAGGAAAGTTGGGTTAGTTACCATTAAGACTTGTTGTCCGAATGTAAGACTGGTTAGCCTGTGTGCTGTTGAAGCTGTATTGGTAAGCTTTGGTATATATGTATGTTAATGGTAGTTGTTATTAGGCAACCTGATGGATCTAACTTTAAGAAATGCTTTGTGTATTACAGGATTAAGACCTGTTAGCCTGTGTGCTGTTGAAGCTGTATTGGAGATTGATATCATTACTGAATATAATAAGACAACCAGAGATTCGTATGTATTATTTTTTATTAGGATAGGATGTAGTCGTTATTTTTTTTTTTCAAGTGTATAACGTTTCATTTATTATTTTTGTTAGGAATTTGGGTTGATAAAGAGTTCCATCGAAACGAACAACCACTCGAGATGTTCGTACTTTTTGTTCTTGTTGATGTCATCTTCTGTGGGTGACGTCCTGTGTTTTGAAACATCAAAGAATTAAACATCACGAAGCATCACTGTTACCAAGTTTATTATTGTCTATTTACTGTAATTTGTGAACCTTGCAGCAATTTCTTATCTGTCTACATTTTCTTTTGTAAACATTACTGTTTTGCACTATGAAATAGAATATGGGATTTCCCACCAAAATCCTGTTCCTTGGGGTTCCTGCTCCCAAAGGTGTGGGATCTCTAGAGGCATTTCAGCCTGCCGTGGGATGGGGGAGGCAGGAAATCTCATTCCGTGGGTGCAAGAGGTTGTGCCTGTGGCAATACAAGTGAGGACCCAAGCCAATGTGTCATGTTACCCAAAGAAATACAGAATATCTGATGAGGCATTCTTAATGGACAATAGCCCCAAATTGGTTTTGCAGAGCCCTTCTCACCCAAGATTTCACAATGCTTCATTAGTCAGTCAGAGTCTGCATTGTGCCACTTGCGGAGTTCATACAGGCCGCTGATCGTGTGAGAAAGACATTGCTGTCTTAATTTGGAAAGAGCAGGTAGATATTTAATGAACATGTTGTAATGATTAATTTCTTGAAGGCTTATGTAGTTTTGTCTCAAGAAAGATGTCTAAAGAAGCCAAATATTTCTATGGCGCATTAGCAGCAATGGATGCAACCCAGTTATGCTGCTTCATGTCTTGAAACAATTGCTTTTTCTGCATCCTTTGTATCACCACACAATGTCTTTAAACAGTTCCTTTCTCCTATGAACATCCAGAGAGAGATTACAGAGCTGTAAAAATGTACATGGTTAATTTGCATTCATGTTGCCGGTTCCTAGTGTCTGACTCTGTGAAAATGTACGCAGAGGAAGCCGTTCAGGGTTTTAGGTGATTGAAACAATCTTATTTTGCATTATCTTTCAAAAATTGCAACATTGGATTCAGCCAGACTGGATGGTGGGGATTGCCCCATGATATCGTTAGAACACATTTCGACATGGCGGGGGGGGGGGGATCTCTTTTGAGAATACTTTTGCCTTATTTTGATGGGGGGAAAGGGGTGTGTGTGTGTGTGGGAGGGGGTTACAAGAATTTTCAATTTTGAACTATGGGAGGAAAGTTCTCATCAGTTGTATAACATCTATTTGCTCTGTTCCAGAGATGTTTAGCATTTTTATTATACTCTTTTTGGTACCTGCAATTTATTTCACATAAATGAAGCAGAATAAAAAAAAAATCTAGCAAAAACTGACATCAGTTGGGTAAAAGTTGAATAAAGTTTTTAGAAGCACAATGTAGGGGGACAGGACTCACTCTGTGACTTGCAAAGATCTTGAAAAGGACCACATCTGCAGTTACCATCCATCCTGTGCACCCCTTCATTGAATGCATATATAAGATACAGGAATTAATATTAAATATAGAACTGGTGGTGGAAAGTGTCATCAAGTCACAGCTGACTTATGGCGACCCTGTGGGATTTTCAAGGGAAGAGACGTTCAGGGGTGGTCTGCCATCGCCCATCCGAGTACTAGCCGGGGCCGACTCTGCTTAGCTTCTGAGGGCGGGCTAGCCTGGGCTGTCCGGGTCAGGGAGCAATAAAGAACTAGAACCTGTTAAATTACCAGATGACTTTTGGGCAGGTCCCTCCCCACCACTGCTGAGAGACTTCCCTCTCTTCAACACGAGGAATAGCAGCTCGCATGTGAGAATGAAACCGCCAAGACTCCTGGAGGAAAGCGAAATGGTTGTGGAGGAAAGCAGCCACTGTCCCACCGCAGTCAGGTTGCTCTCTGCCCGGGTGGCTGCTGTGGCGATTGTCCTCTCTTCTCCGTGGCCAGCTTGCTTGCCTCCTGACGGCCCGGCATGAGGGCTGCAGCTCACGGTTTACCCATCCCCCGCTCCATGCAGCTGTGACCAATGTTCCCTCTAAGCTGTGGAGTCTTGTGAGCAAAAATTCTGCTTTGTGAGCTACTGGCATTAAAGTTGTGAGCAAGCAATTCGGCTGCTGCATAAATGAGTTTGCTCTGGAGCCATCCTTCCTGAGCTAAGACAGAAATCTGTGAGCTGGAGGCTAAAAAACTGTGAGCTGGCTCACACTAACTCAGCTTAGAGGGAACACTGGCTGTGACTGTTTGAAACTGGGAACCACCTGCCAATCACAAGCCCTCCAGACCAAAGCTCACTTTCCTGAAACACCCAGTGGGTGCCCCGTTGGGAACCAGTGGCCAGCAGAGGCACAGGTAGTATCACTGTTGGAGGAAGTGAAGAGATGCTTTGTGTTCCTGCAGCCTGTGTCCGAGGTCGGATTTAAACGTGATGCTGATGAGGCAAAAGCACTGAGCTTTGCACTGGCAACCTGGCTCCTTTATACTGGGCTGCGGTCACTCAGCTACCACGACACTTAAGAGCACCCCTTGACCGCTATTTATTCACACTGTCGTCCATTTCTTCTTGCAGCTTGCCATACCGCACAACGATGAGTGGTCCCGGTTTGCTCGGACGCTGGTGGAAATCCGGGCCAACAGAGCTGACAGCGAAGAAGAAGGAGCTGTGGAAATAGCTGCCTAGAAGAGACTGAAGATGTAACCTCTCCCCCATTCATCCCAGACTGGCATCTGCCCTGGGTTGAGTACGCCATTGTTCCGTGTCAAATCGGTATTGTTGTGGCTTTCAATGCCAGTGTTCGTGCCAGAGTTAGAGTACTGATTCCGCCATATAAATCACACTGTGCTTAAAGCAGGCTGAAAATATCCAGAGCCTTTTCATGCTTCATGGGTTTTTGTTTTGTATGTGTGTGTGTGTGTAGAAGTTGGGAACAAGAAGACAAACCAGGCTGCCGTGGGTTTAGTGCTTGCCCTTTGACTCCTAGTAGTAGCTGCAGTGACTAGCTAGAAACCCCCGGACAAACTTGGGCTCCTCAGCACTTCTGGCAGAGTCATATTAAATCCATATGAAGCCCGATCTGATTGGGTACAGATGTGGTGTGCTTCACGATGTGGGACTGGGCAAAAGACGTTAGATGTGGTGTTTCACATGGTGACTTACATTATGAATGGATGTACTATATGGACGTTGCTGCTCCTTATTTATTGCGGTGTGCTGCATGGAATGTATTTATTTGAAAGCATTAAAATAAATGATCCTCGAGCATGTGCATAACGAGCAAGCGGCATTGTCTCCGCATGCCTGTCGAGGTTATGTCGAGTTCCAAATAACAATTACAGGATGTCACTTTGTACTAAAACGAAATCTGTAAGAGGCTGGCTGAATTAAATAGAAGTTGTTTTTTTTAAAATGCCTATTATTTCTCGGTACTTGAACCATATTTCACATACAGCTGGGTCTCTGACACTCATTCAGATTGTTACTGTTAGTCTATAACAAGGAGAGCCGTTCTCAAGCCTGACACCAGCCATGCCAATAAACTCCATTGTGGCCCTTCTGTAGCCATCTGGGTTAAGGGTTCCACATTATAGTTACTCCACGTTTTGGCCAGGTAGGATACTACAGTCTCCATGCTCATCATATGTTTGTGTTAAAATGTGCTCAGAGTGCAGTCTCTTCAAAGTGCCAAAGGCCGGTTTTATTTACTTTAGAAGCATTTTGAAACACAAAACCTAAACCTTGACCTTGACAGTGGGCGTTCTGTGTCACTCCAGGTGTGCTACCATACCCACAGGGTGAAAACAAAGGACAGCTGCTGCTGTCCCGTGACAGAGGCATAGCTACAGTTCAGGGCCCTTCACTCCCCCCCCCCAGCCCTTTGTACAGGCGCAAAGCAAACACATTATTCCACAATGGTACCCATATTTACTTGCATACCCCATTTCTTCCTGCCACACAACAGTTCAATAAAAATTCCAAATGTGTATCTGCATTGAAACTTCATTTACATATAAATGTGCATATTGCACTGGCGACTTCCACAAGACATTTCATAGAAAACACTGAAGAGAACAGCCTCCTCCTTTGGGCAACAGCTCTCTCTCTCTCGATAGTCCTAGATGAACTATTGCCTGAACTGCTTGAACCAGATTATTAGGCCGAGCTCTGAGCCCCATTCTGCTTTTGAGGCGATCAGAGACAAACCCCCAGCACACCCCCCCCCCCCCAAAGATGGGGGAGAATCACTGCAAGGTAGGAATGCACATACAGACTGCGGCTCCAATAGGGCAGGGGCTAGAACAGCAGCAGTGGACAGCAAAAGCCTGTAGCCCACTTTTTTTGGGGGGAGGGGGAGAACCAGCCTACCTTGCCGTATGGGTATTTGCCATTGTGGGCTGATTTATTTATTTTTTAAATCTACCATACTTATGTAACTTGGTAGTCAGGAGTGTCCGCAAACCTGATTGCAGCTAGCCGGATGCCCTTGTTTTTGTGGCGGCAACCATTAGGATGGTCCACAGAGCATCTACTTGAATCTGTTCCAACAGCCTCAGTTGGTGGAAGGGCAGGTGGCACTTAACGCTTCATGAGGGCTGGAATTGCGGAGGTGACACACTAAAGCAGACATGGCTTAGCCTGCTTAAGCTGTCTCTGAAGACCCCCAAGACTTTGCAGGGCTCTCCACAAGGACAAAGATATTTAAAATGTTGCAAGGCTTCGCTCTTCTCACTTTACAGGGAATGCAGGTTGGGTCCGATGTGCCTGCACTGCGTCCTGTGTGCAATACTGACACATGAAGGTGGTGCTCATGGAGAGAGCTCTTCAGCCTCCCCCCTCACACCCCATCTTCCTGACCCAACACGATCTAGCACCCTTCAGGATAACTCTAGGTCAACAAGGCATAACACGGGTGGGGGGGTGGGGGGTGGACTGAACCAGGTCTCCCATGCACAAGAATTGAGGAGAACCCACAACTTACACATGACTGTTACACAGGATGTAGCATGAGGCCTCCCACACCCAAACTGTGTTCTCTGTAATGCACGAACAGCAGCCCGTTTTTGTGCCAGTGTTAACTCTGTGATGTGCTGAATGTGGGCAATTGGACTGTAATGCCACATAGATCATCAGAGGGGAGGAAAAGTGCATTTTGCTAGGCCCCGATAACCACATCCTTGTCCATTACTAAACACCCAGTTCTTCCAGTGGCCTCCGTGTATTCCTTACGAAGCTGCAATGCTGGCTTTCACGGCAGTACAGGAATACTTTATCAAGCACACATTGTGAGCGGTTAAAAACACAATTTGTTCAAGTGCTGTTTCTGGGTTATTTGCTGTGTTTAACCTCCCCAGAGAGTTCCATAATGAAAGTGTCTTGAGGTTTACTTATTTCTAAACCATTCCATAATTTATTATGTATAATCATTAGATTTACAATCTGTTCTCAGCATAAGCACCACAGTTAAATGTTTCAACCAACAAAATGATGCTTACGATTCTGAAGAAGTGCTTTTACGTGGTTTGTTTTTCCCAACGCTGGCCTTAATCAGAATTGAAGAACTGAATGCACAGTAACTTATTGGGGCTGTGCTCATTGAACACATCCCAGGAGGTACACATAGCCAAGGGTTCTTCAATGCCAGAAAGGCTGCAAGTCTGCCCAAATGTTTCTGCAGTTAAAATGTGTTTGCACACGTCAATAGCATTGATCCAGCAGCACATGGGGTTTTTAAGCGATAAACATTTTGTACTCAGGCTGTGTGTTTCCAAACTTTGGAACCCTTCCCCTGTGTTAACGCACAGCCTTGTAATCTAGGCCAGTATTAGTCTCCACCCCTACCCCCTTCTGCAATACGGGACTTAGGAGAACAATGACTTGCCATGGGTCACCTAGCGAACTTGTGGCAGAGGTAAGATCTGAACAGAGGACAACCCAGCTTGCAGCTGTAGGATACAACACTGCCCAGCAGTACTACTACAAAGTACAATGACACTCTATTCTGCTAGTGGGACAAATGGATCATTTTAGACCCTGCACCTATATTGCAAGCAACTGATATTCTTCTGTGTCATGCATGGCTTAGTGGTAGAGTCCAAGCTTCTTGTGCAGAATATTCCAACTTCAGTCATTGTCCTTCCTGGTTTAAAGGATCTCAGGTAGCAGGAAAGACTTTTCTCTGGCTGAGCTTCCACCAGTGAAGGTAGAAGACTGCGTGAGAAGGACCAACAGTCTGACACGATATGTCACGTGTTCACATATAAGAAGATGAGGTCATCATGACAGCTGGTTCTGTCTGTGGCATTAGTTGAGGCCATATCAAAACCTACATCCATCTTTCAACTATGGGATTCAAGTTTCATAGGATGTCTCAGCACAGGCCAGAGGCGTCATGGAACTGTTTTCCAGGAATCTGTTACAGTGGCTTCTGCTCGTTATTGATCTAGCTAGAAGGGGAAGCTGGAGGGCACACACGATCAGCGACGGCCCTGAGGCTCTGAATCATCCTGTTTCACTTCTGCTATCAGCTTTGCAAAACACAGAAATATTAACCTTGGAAGACATGCAATATTGGTACCATAAAAAAGGACCTGGGTAAATAAAAATACTCAACTGTTCAGTAGTATCACTTTAGGCTCTAAACAGAGAGAGATCGAGGAAAGGAGATCGTGGACACGTTCATAATAAGAGTAAGGGAGGTTGATTTGATGTTCTCTTGCTATATTGAATATCTCTGGTCATGTTCACAGTTTCAAGGGATAGGGGACAACAGTTAAAAAAACCCTTAGTTTTGCAAATCGAATCTCGTTTGCTTTACCCCAAAACTAGACAAGATGGTGGGAAATTAGTGTCCAAATTAGCCAGGAAAGGTGGTGTGCAAGCCACGTCAGGGAAACTGTTGGGTGAAATGGGTGTTTAACTCTTTCTTGGGCACCATTTTCCTGATCTAAATGGCCCCTGCCATCAAAGCTGCTACACAGCCTGTGTGTGAGGTTCAATTTAGATCAGTTTCTCTGTATCTCCATTAACTCATATCCTGCTAAACCCTGCATGTCACAAAAATAAGCAAAATATTTTATTCTGATTATTTTAAAAAATCTTTTTAATTCAACAAAGTTAATAAGAATTTTCACACAATTACAAGCTTGCAGTTAAGGCAGGTAATATTGATACAGTGCATGGATTTCTCTATTGCATTTATTTTAACAAGCAGCAATTACTCTAAATGCGTAACACAAAAGAAAAATCCAAATATCAGCAGGTCCAGGTTAGGCCCCTTGGATACATTCTCTCTGCTCACTTAAGCAAGAGTCCTGGAGCACACGGTACTGGAAAAGAATGGAGAAATGTACAGCTATGTTGTTCGATGGATCGTGGCCTTGGTTTCCAAATGTGTAATGGGATACTCCAAAGTTATTCCATAAAGTGCACAGCCTATGGAAAAACAATACTTCTGCCTCTCCCCATCCCAGAAAGAGAATGTAATTGCTAAACATTTTTCGATCTGGTTCCCGTTACAAGAACATGTTCCCCGTAAAAGCCGCATAATACAATCCAGGAATTGAACTTGTGCGTGTATACATGTGTCGAATGTTGCAACAATGGCAGTGTCACAAACGTCTTGTACTCATGAAGCCTACAGTACAGACAACAGACTGAACGTGTAACCAATTCAAACACACAGTCTATATCATTCTGCATCTAGCACCATGATCTCTGTTGAAAATATATTTAAACAATACTGTGTAATACTCAGTATGCAGACACAATGGCAGAACAGCGCTCTCATCTCAGTTGAGTGGTCATGTCTCACAACTCACCCAGCGTGCCCACCACCAACCTTCCTAAGGGAAAAACCATTACATATGAATGCCTGTCCCGCACTAGCGTCAAGTACATTCATGATCCAAGGTATGTGCAAGTAAAAAAATTACATTCACGGGCCCAAACCAAAAAAGGAAAAAAGGGGGGGGGGGGGGGGGAGAGAAAGACTACTTCAGCAAGAATTTCACAGTGATCTGACAGAGAAAGCACAAAGGCCTGTATTTACACATAGAGGG